TGAGAAGGAACATAATGGTACCTGAGAAATGGTAGATGGATGCAAGCAACTTTTGTGAATCTTGCAAGAGTAGACCAAGACAGCTGGCAGCCTGGACAGTCACCTAATACCAGCCCAGTTAGCTCAGTCAGTATAGCATGAGACTCTTAATCTCAGGGTCATGGGTTCATGCCCCACATTGGGCACCAGATATTGGTGAAATTATTAAGGCCACTCCACGTAGTTAAAAGGATATTTATTTAATGGTGTACCTTACAAATTAAGGGATAGGTTGGTCACAGGGTCTGGGGAAGGTGTATCACAGTCCAGCAGTGTTCTCTGGAGCTCTGCTCTGTCCACCTCCACCATTCAGGGTCCCAGAACAGAGAGAGTGCTGGCATATTCAGATCTCGGGTCTCCAGGTACCTCACCTGGCCCTGCCTCATAGGCGTGACAGTTGCCAGAGTCTCAATGGGGGTTGGAACTTCCAGATCAGAGCTGGAATGGCTACCCACTACAGATCATCTATGATTCCTTATTTTCTAGGAAAAATGGAGGTAAACATACTGTCACAAACACAATTAATGCTGAAAAGTCCAGATGCATAGAATAGGAACATGTGAATAAAATTCTAAACAATGTTCTGAATGGGATCAAGAAATGTTGAAATGCTTGACTATCATTGCTAAACTTTTCATCTGAACTTAACAAAATAGCAGGGAAAATTCATCAACCTAGAGACACGTCCCATCATACTATTGCAAAATACAAGCATGTGGTTAATACATCCCATGCCCCAAGGGAAATCATACTGAACATTGTCACTTTATATTTCTGCACTATGCCAAGAGTTAAATGTTAAATCTCATGTGGATGTTCATTTATGTTTTTATAAAGATCTAAGTCATTTGGAAAATCAGGAGATGAACAGTCAAGAGTACAATGCAGAAGATTACCAATGTAGTCAAGTAGAGAAGAAGAACAAATCTGTCAACGAATCCCACTACCATATGGACACTGTTCTTCTTTTCTTACTCAAAGGGTCCGTTTATAGTAAGGCAAGTAATGGAAGAGAGTTTCTTGCTAACTACACACAGATGGAGGAGGGACCGAACTAAAATGCTCTGCCCAGTTTCTGAAGAGGTCATTCTTTGAAGCAGTGACTTTAGCAATTCACTTCAATTGAAAGGAAATGAGTTTTTGTTGCTTGACTATCCCATTATGAGAAATACCTTTAGCTTGTCAATAGGAAAGACCTATTTGGAGTTCAGTCAATGCATAAAGGAGATTTTTTTTCAGTCCATGGAGATCCTCGTCTTTGAATAGAGCTCCTTCCACACCTTCCTTTTCCCATGTAATTCCAAGGTTTTCTCTTACAGATGTATTGTTTGAGAACCATTACTGTTAGTAATAGTGTGAGGATTGTGATCTAAAACTTGACTGTAACCATTTCAAAGTGCTGAAGTTAGTTCTAATGCCACCTCAGTCACTGAAGGTACACCAGCAGAATTGAAATGTTCTCTTGTTAATGGAAAAAATAAACTCTGCAACTACAGAGAGAATGAACAAAGAAATCTCACAAAGCCAGGAGCAGCAGGGAGCCATCCTGTACATAAGAGCTAAAAATCATCTTGTCTTGGTCATATTGGGGGTAAATTTCTATCATGGGTAGATGTAGGCCTTTATGCTTCAGGCTACAGCACTCTCAAGAGAAATAAAAAATGACTCTTTGTGAAACCAGGTTACTGTTAGAGAAAACATACCTAAATGGCCTGGGGTGCAGAGAGAACACATTTCCTAATATGCCAGCAGAGAATCAGAATTTGACATTGAATGTTACAGATTCATAGCTCCAGTTTTTAATCAATTTGACTATTTCCAAATGTGTATTTGTTTATTTCGGACTTATCACCCTAATTTGAAGTCACCTTGTCAAAATTGTTATTTTGGGATTGCTTTTATAATCCCTGATTGGGCAACTGTGTTTTATTTTATTGTCATTTCAACAACAATAAATAATTCACACTCCATATAAGAAAAATATCTATCTATACCTTGCCATATACCAATTGAGATTCATGAAATTCTGGCTGTTTTTTTATAAATATATAATTCATATCATTCCCATGAATTAATTTTGACTCCACAATTACAACAATAACTCAGAAGAATCTACATAAAAAAACAGTATTCTGAAGAGAATAACTCTCTGGTGAGAGGGGTATATATACGGTCCATTGATTCAATGTATATTAATTGGTGGTATTAGGGGAGGTAAAATATAATATTGGTTAAAGGGATGAGCATATCTTTTAGCTGAAACTTAATATTTTGCATAATAACTGATACATTGTCAATATCTAATTTAAAAAGTCCCCTTCCTCCTTGTTAGGTGTATTAGTTCTCATAGTTATGAACAGTTCAAGAACTCAGTCAATCCCTGAGCAATCTCTTCCTATACACAGTCTAATTCACTCCAGTCTAATTCTGCACTGTCCGTTTTCAAACTGCATTGTGAACAAGGTCCATTTCTGCATAAATACTGAGCTGTGCATGGACTTTAGTCATCATTGTTTTAAAGTGAGTGCTTTTCCTAAATGTATCAACTCTCTGTTTTTCTGAAAGGATTAAGTAGGCAACATTTTTCACCTCTGTTTATGGGAACTTGGTGGAAGTAATTGCTGAGACTTATAATAGTTGTGGTTCAGATTTTGGATATATATGTAATCTTTTAGAATGTAGAACCACTACAGAATATGATGTGTGCTTTAGGTTTGCATCAAAAAGAATTTCCAAATTATATATTGACATGAGGAAGGGGAAGGTTGGTTATCATTGATACTGAGGTATTAATTATTTAGTTTTACTGCAGTGTGTTATAAATAATGAAATAATGTATTTGACATGTGATAGCAGAACAGTAGTTTCTATTAGCATGCAGTGCTCCCTAAAAATATACTGGGGTGTAAGTGTTCTGTTAATGCAAGTAATTGGTCTTGAATCTTAGTGTGAGGACCTCATTCCCGCCAAAGCATGTAAGATAGGTTTCTGCATTCACATGCCTCAGATGGTTTTCAGTAGCCACTATTAGGTAGAATAAAGTTATAAACAACAAAGAGGATATTGTCTATTGGGAAAGAGGACGTAGAAATTGTTTGAATTATGAATGCTACAAATTAAGTAAGAAAAAATGAGATTGACAATATTCCCTTCCCTTTTCATAAATAGCATATAAGGAGGTCTTGGAATCAATATCAGTTACATAACAATTCCAAAGTACAAACGATGGTGATTTATAGGTGAGAGATACTAATATATGGCTAGTAACATGTAGACATATATACAGTCATTAAAATCAAAAAGATAAAAATAACAATGGTATATTTGCTTGTATTTATGTCCTTTGCAAAATCATTACAAATTGAAACATATGCTTGTTCTGTGTCAGAATATAGCAGTTTTCAGTCACTGATGGTACTACCTTGGATGCAGAATCCACCTTGAAAGCACTACTAGTATCTGTCAAATTACTCGTACATTTATCATGTTCTCATAATTTTGTTCCTGGAGATGTCTAACACAGATTTACTTAAACAGGTCCAGAAGCCATTTATTATTGCCCAGTGTCATGATCATGTAGTTGCAAAGAGGTACAACCCTTACTTACAAAGTAGATGGAGAAATGTGGTGGATATGCACTGAAGAGCAGTAAGATGTAAGAAATAGACACAGGTTGTAAACCATGACTCTGTTTATAGATCAGCCCTCAGTAGTAGCTACAACAAAAGCCAAGAAAAAGACATAAGACAAAGATCATAATGTCATCTGTGCAAATTAAAGTATGTGCATACAGTCTCTCTATGGGCATACACTGCATTTTAGAGCATTTACATTGTTTACAGCTAAAATATATTCACTTTAAAGTTTATGAATGATAGCATCCTATAGTTCTCTTGTAAATTAATTCCCTAGTTTAGCCAATAAGATATATAAAAGCATGCCACTTCTCTTATTTCCTCAAAAGTTAGGAGAGTTTTTACATGTTCTTTGAATGTATAATAAAAATTTGAACACCATCATGTAAGCTTCTTTTTTATTTTAATTGAAGGAAGAGCTTCAACACAGTTTCCCATTACCACAAATTATGTAGTCTAGTTTTCTGGTTTGGGAAAACCACAGGGATCCGCACTTAAGGAGTGCAATGGCAAAGTCCTTTCCTCAGAAAACCACCTTCATGATCCTGATAGCTCCCCTGCCAAGCTAGTTTCCTATTGAAAATGTTTAAAATACTAATGAAATATTTCTCAATTTCAATGGCATGTTGGATTTATAGCCTTAAGTTATTCATAGAATTGTTTCAAATTAATTGTATTATGTTTTGAATGTGGGTATATTTGTTTTATCATTTCTAATATGAATACTTGATATCTCAAAGACCAAATCTTTCATATTTCTACATTGGTTTTCTAATTTCTAATTCTAATTTATAATTTGTTAAATTTAAAATTTCTTCTGGGAAAACTAAGTGAAATATTTAATTCATACATATATGTACATATATGTAGATACATACATATACATGTATTTGATACCTTCAAGAATCACATATTTGATACAGCTTTTTTAATAAACTCTGAATTAAAAAATTCTAGAAGTTTTATATAAATAATAAAATAAACATAAGTGGTAAACGAAATGAGTACTCTCGAATAAACAGGGATGGAATTCAATGAGCACATGAACAATTTATCATTAGGAAAACCACAGTGGGAGGGGCCTGTATAATCATTTAGAATGATTGAAAATTTTAAGAATATGCCCATATCACATATTTGTGAATGTTGAATGTGGAGTATGTTATTTTTATTCACATTTGTGGGGAAATACTTTTAGACTGTCTTGAAATTCTAAATTTAATTCTTCAACAGAATTTTCCTCTTCTTTCATACTGAAAATCTGTCTCAGTATAGAATTTTATCCAACTTCCCATGCTAATTTTGTATTAGCTGAAATTTGTATCATCCAAAATCATTAACATTAACACTAAGTTAATTAATTAACATTAATGTTAATTAATTAATTAATTAATCATTAATCATTAACAGATAAATGCATAAAATGAATTTAGGTATACAACTGCTCAACAATAAAATGAATACATTACTGAAACAATGAAATTTCAACTCTATGATAAAGGAAAGAAGCCTGGAGTGAAAATGTTGGATAAGAAACTCACATTTATTTAAGTACAGGCTAATCTATGGTGACTAAACTAACCAGTGGTTGTTTGTGGAGGGCAAAGTTGGGAGGCAGGTGGACGAGGATGGGGAGGTTGTGGGAGAGGAGGAGGCTTTTGGGGAGTGGCTTTCATGCTACTCTGATTTCCCCAACAGGTTAACATGTACACTCACAGATTTCAAATTCTCTCAGGTTGTTCATTTACCTGCACAAAGGTTGTTGGGTGTCAATTATACTTCAGCAATGCTGCATTCTTTCCAAAAATAAAGCTGTACTAAAGACATTGAATAATCACTCTATTGTGTTATGAGAGACCATTATTTAACTAAAGAGAAGCTGTGATCAAGCTAAACCACTGCACTTAGCAGAAGTGAGCCGCCTGTGGTTCAACATTAACCTGTTAAGGGCCATTCCAGGTGGGTGTCCTCAATGACTGGCATTCCTCGTTAGTTTTCCATTTCATCAGAGACCATGGGGAGAAGCTTTTGATATAAGGGATATTTTACTAACTTGACTCTCACTGTGTAAATATATCAGACCACAAACACAGACCATAATTTACACAAAAGTATCCAAAAATCAATCATCGTCTACAATGAGGAAACACCATGTCTTAATTCAAATGGAATATGCCAGTGGTCATGTCAGAGTAGTAGCAGGTGGCAACTGACTTCAGGAGTTTGAACCACCAGAATGCATTCATTGATTCTTGAATCTCGGATAGGCAAGGGCCCTGAAGATTTCAGCTCCAGAGTATCTCTTGTTGATACCCTGTGACTTTACATGTTTACCACTGCCTTTTTTTCTCTGGTATCTGGCATGGCTTGAATGACTGTGTGGGGATTTCCCCATCACTTTTAACTTAGTGTGATTATCTCATGGAAAAAATTCTGGTGGTGGTGCTCTCCTTTAATCCCAGCACTCAGGAGGCAGAGCTAGGCATATCTCTGTAAGTTCGAGGACAGCCTGGTCTACAGTGTGATATCCAGGACAGGCACCAAAACTATACAGAGAAACTCTGTCTCAAAAGACAAACAAACAAACAAACAAAACAAACAACAACAACAAAAATCCTGTTTATTGGGTATTTTTATCTGTGGATAATTATATAGGTGCTGTCATCTTAAGCAGTACTGTTTGAAGTAATGATGTTGTACAATAATAGTGTTAGTTTAAATAGAATTTGATGATTAAGGGTTTTTAACAAATATAATGTGGAATTATTATAGAGTTTAGTTAATTGGGAAAATTAATAGAGGTGAAGATTAGATATATTATTGCCCCCATCCCTGATAAAGCAGGAGCCGAAAGGGATAGAAAATAAGAACAAGGAAGTGTGTCACACAGCCAGGACTTACAAGTTTCTCTTAAAGAACCTGATAGACTCTTGTTTAGGCTAATGAAGGAAAACAAGTCCCAGGAGTTATCTCAAGCTCTTTTTGATATTGGGAAAGGTGTTCATGGGTTTCAGTATGCATCATAGCTAAACCAAAGGTTTAAATAATGACTTAAGGTTAGGGTAAGATTTTTTTAAATGGCTTTGAGGTGGAAATTCTTGGGGAACAAATTAAAGTTGAGAAAGGCACAATTTTAATAGTTGAACAAGGGACTCCTTGAAGTAAGGGACAGAAACAGTGTCAGCCTGACTGTTGCAGGCTGACAAACCTTTCTGGCTAGGACAGGTTGGTGGTCAAAGTTGATGATTAATTACTCATACCCATTTCTGCCTTCAGCATTCTGATATAAAAACAGTTGATGTGTCTACCTTGAAGATTTAGAGTAGAGCTGATTGTTTTTCATATGTAGAAGTTTAGATTTGTGACTATTTTAAGATTTTTTTATAAGATTATCTTTTGATAGTAAAATAGTAAAATAATTGATTCTATTTTTTTGTAACCCCAAATTACAGTCTGCCAGTAAAAGAACAGGCTGAGAAAAATACCGTGTTTGCTTGCTTACACTCTGTTAATCTATAATAAGTTGCTTGGACATCCATGTATGTGGGTTCTTGGGAATGATGTGTTTTTCACCTGTTAATGTAAAATGTTTAATCATGTAAGGAAAGTGAGAAACACATTGTTTTTACTTGAATTCATTGTAATCATTCACTTAAAAAAATTAATGTAACCTCATTGTAATTTTTATACTGCTTGAAAGTTTTTGATGGGATATATAAGCTGTAAGAGAAAAAAATTGAGGAGACACAGAAGGGAAACATGTGCATAGAGGTAAGAAAAGAAATAGAGAGTTGAGAGAAAGAGATGCTAGAAAGACCCTAAGTGTGTGTGTGTGCGTGTGTTCTTTTTTGCCAGCCTCAGAGTGTTAGGTTTGCCTCAGGGAATTAAGTTTTACTCTCTCAGATAGAAAAGTCCAATTGAGTGTTTAGTTCGCTGACTTCATGGCTCCTCCTCCATTCCTGAGCTCCTGAAGGATGCTCCTTACAACAGCAGGAATGGATTATAAAACTCTTCTAACTTTAAAGTCGTGGCTTATTTTCATTGGTCATGTAGAGAAATTTGAGGTTGGCCATGGAGAGCAGTGAAACAAAATTCTGCTATATGCTTGAAGTTTATGATCATACGTGACACTGGGAAACCATCAGAAATTGACCCTTTTGTCTCTTACAGTTCCTTCCATTTGCTCTGCCCTGCTCTCTTTGCTGTGGAATCTGGGAACCTTGTAAATTTGTCACCAGATTTCTCTGGGAAACCTCACAGAACACAGTAAAGAGTTCCCAACACAGAACTGCATAGTGGATATACTTCAGTTTCCTAATTCTCTTTCTACCTTGTAAGAATGTCTTTCTGATTGTGTGTGTGTGTGTGGTGTGTGAGGTGTGTGTGTGTGTGTGTGTGTGTGTGTGTGTGTGTGTGTGTGTGTGTGTGCATGTGCTCAGAAGACATGGAGCATCCTCCACTGTCACTTTCAACCTCATGCCCTTGAGGCAGTGTCTCTGTCAGAACCTGGAGCTTGCATCATTGTTCAGCAAGGCTGGTGTCCTGAATTATCTCAGAGCTCCTTGTGTTGTCAGCCTCTCTAGTGCTGGAGTTACCAGCTTATGCCTCAATGCCTGCCTCTTTAAACACATGCTGGGATTCTAACTCACATCCTTTGTGCAGCAAGAACTTTTTTTTTTTTTTAAATGAGTCAAGCTTTTGCTCACTTTTTTTTTCTCTCAATTTCTCCTGTGTAGCCAGGGTTTTCCTGGTCCTGCCTGGCCCACGGTAAGGACAAATCTCTCTCACCCACCAGTCCTGCAGCTGCTCAGACCCATCCAAGTAAACACACAGAGACTTATATTACTTATAAACTGTATGGCCGTGGCAGGCTTCTTGTTAACTGTTCTTATATCTTAAATCAACCCATTTCTATTAATCTATAAGTTGCCATGTGGCTCGTGGCTGACCAGTATCTTAACATCTTCTCATGGTGATGGCTGGCAGCGTCTCTCCTCCCTCTCCACTTTCTTGTTCTCCCAATACTCCTCTCTGCTAGTCCCGCCTATACTTCCTGCCCAGCTACTGGCCTATCAGTGTTTTATTTATCAATTAATCATCCACAGCACTCCTGTCTTCAGGAGACCTACACTGATTGCTTAAGAGAAGTGTAACTTTGGGGAAAAAAATGAGAAACAAGGATAGCATCAGGTACCCACTTTCTATCCTTTTCGCTTGTCACAAGGCCCAAGGACCTATTAGTGAAAGGAAGTTTGTTCAGCCAAATATCCCAACTTGGATCATGGAGAGGCCCCTGAGGTCCCACACCTAGTTGGGAAGCTGTTGGCAACTGATAGATAATGAGGAAAAGAGAGTGCCAGTTCTTTAGGGATGTGATGCTTAGTAGGATACCCATTTCCAGTGCATGGTCTTATAGATATTCACAAACTGACAAGTACTAAGTTGACTTCATGGGATTAAAAAAGAGTGCATGAAGTATAGAAGGAAAAATAGTAGTAAGGATATTGAAAGAGGTGGAGTGAAAGGGGCATGGGTATAAATGTGATCGAAACACATTTTTTTAAATAAAGGC